GAATTGGGGTTAAGTGCCTTGCTTAAGTGCACATCAGCAGATGGCCGCTCACACTGAGCCTGGTTCTGCTGGAGGTTTCTTCCTGTTCAAAGGGAGTTTTTCCTCTCCACTGTCGCTACAAGCATGCTTAGTGTGAGGGATTGCTGAAGAGTCAATGAGTCGATGCAATCAGCTGGTTTTCCTTAGATAGAAAACTGGATGACTGACTGGATGATCTGGTGAACTGGAAAGTCACCTGAGATGACATGATGTGAATTGGAGCTATAGAAATAAACTGAATAGACTAAATGAATGTTCAGCTTGAAGCCACTCTAACAGGGCAACCCTGCTTACAGTCTCAGATCTCTGCTAACATTGTTTTATCAGTTAAACCTCCTGCAGCCTTTATGGGTTATAGTTACAGCTGCAGGCTTCTGACATCATTATTCATACATTTCTTCTTTAGCTTCAACAAAATCTTAATGATACAAAAATCCTTTTTAACATTTAATGAAAAAGGATCTGATTGAAAACATTTCTATGAAATGAAGGTTTAACAGACATTATAAAACATCAACTTTCACTTTAGTTTATTTCATCAGCTCCTATTTTCATCATGTCATCTCAGGCCTCTTTATAGATCCAGATCATCCAGTTTCTAAGGAAAACCAGCTGATTGCATCCAGCCCATGACTTTACAGCAATCCCTCACATGCATCATCTGTGGCGTTGATTAGCTGATGGCTGTTTGTAGATTAAAGCATTAGATTCTGTCCCAGGTTAAATAGCCTCCCAGGAGCTTCAGATGGACCAAGGACGGCATCATGAGGTCTTAGAACCATGAGGAGGAAGGATTTACGTAGTTCTCATGCGATGTAACATCCGGCGCCTCGTCGCTAAGCACCATCCTAGCAGCACGCCTGTAGAGATGGCAGACTAGATGTCATCCGTCCTGATGGGGTTCAGCAGAGCGCAGGTTTCACTACATCCTAAACTTCTCCTTAGCCAGAGGAGCTGAAGGCAGATTTCAGCCTCCATGGCTTTATTCAGGCTAACTAAACCTTCGTCTGGTTCAACAGTCAGAGAGGTGTTTCAGATTTTTACCTTAGACCAATGAATCACAAATGTATTCCATCACAAGTTGTTTTAGTATCAGACCGAGTCAGCAATGCTAAGGTAGCTACAGTAGCTAATTAGCTCATGTGATTTGTTCCTGCAATGGATGACAGATGAGTGTGTCCTCCACTCACTTCCTCTGAACCAGCAACCCTCAGACTAGGGGTGCACCGATTGCAGGTTTCTGGCCGATCATCGATTCCCGATCTTTAAAATGCCTGACATGCAAGGTTTCACTCTTATATGACTGAAAGGCAGTAATCAGTTCCTGTGAAACCATAAAAATATCTGACATTACTACATTATTGCTGTCAACTATCAATCAAAGCTAAGAGCAAAGATTTTCAGATCTTTGCAGATCTGGGGAAAATACCGCTTTCTAATTGTCAGCCAATCACCAATCTCCCAGCATTAAGGAAATGGAGGCCAATAAATCAGCCGGCCGATAAGTTGCCGCACCCCGACTTTAGACGTCCTTCATGGCGGTGGAGAAAGACCTGACGGTAGTCATTACTGAGTGAAGCTCCTCCAATGTATCTCAATGTCACAGTAGTCATGGTGGGTCTGAAAGACATCATTGTCCTCAGTGTCCTGCGCATGTTTACTGCGATGGCAGCTAGAGGGCGCTGCATTCACCTTGTTTTCACATCTCATCTTAGCTCCTTATCCAGGTTTGCTCTGTATGCAGACGATACACAGATGATTATTAAAGGAGAAAAAGAACGAAGGTTAAATCTGGGAACAGGTTATAATTACTGATATGAAGGTAAACATGTTAGAAACATCTCATCTGTGACACGATCCCAACCCAGCAGTTTTTCACTAAAGAAACATTTTTCAGTCTTTTAGCTGAATGTCTTCTCTATAAATACGAACTATTTGAATCCAGTGAAATACCTGCTGCAGCGAGCTGTACAAAAAAATACATGGTTATAGTTGGGTTCAGTTATTAAAACGTTCCTGCTCTCCTCAAATTATTATTATTATTTTATTTAAAAGAAGAAAAACAGATCTTAATTAAATTTTTGGGTTTATATATTATGTCCCATTTTCTGTTCTTGAAGACTCTCTGATGTCTTTGGATGTAAAGAAGGACAAAGCCGTGTGTCTATATGTATATATATGTGATATTAAATGTATATAAAGATCAAAGGATGATACTTTAGTTCTGGAACAGCAGACAAATCCAAGATTCACCATCTAGAGATGTATTTCTATAAGTTTGTGAATAAGTTTTGGATGATTTTTTTTGTTCTTTTCTTACTTGGTTTGACTGGAATACTTTGCTTATGATGTTGTTCCACAAACATGAAGACCTGTTTGCTATTTTAAATGTTTGAAATAAATACTTCTCAGTTATTTTCAGTTCTAGTTTCAGTTCTTCTTGGTTCCATCATTACTGGACCATCCACCCACTCCACCCTCCTACATGTAGGGGTCCCAGGAGCCCGCCCCAGTGGGGGAGGGAAATGAGTATTTGGACAACCTGCTATTTTCCAAGTGATTTATTTGTTTGATACAGCTGCAAATCAGTATTTGAACATCTGTCTATCAGCTAGAATTCTGACCCTCAAAGACCGGTTAGTCTGTCTCCATTTATTCTCCTAAACTAGATGCACCTGTCTGAGGTGGTTAGCTGCATAA